TACGGGTACTGTAGCTTTCCTCTTCGTCGTTCACACAGTCCGGCAGCTAACAACGAAACCTGGACTCCGTCCTACGGCGGTGATGGTGGCAAGCAACGGTGTCTAAGAAAAATGATGGCGACGGTGGTAGCTTGGTCCGGCGGCAACATCTTCTTCTTCTCCGGCGAGTCTTCGTCCTCTCTTTCTCCTTCTTTCCTAATTCCTATCAGTGGCCTCCTCCTTCTCCCCTTCACTCGCAGACCTCACCTTACTTCTCAATTTACGTTTCTATTGTTGTATTATCGTATGAACGTTTTGATGTATGTGTGTATGCTGGGTTATATATTTTACGATGATGCTTCTAGCGTCTCAGACTGTACGATGCCACAAGTAAGCCAACGTTCGACCGTTTCCATTGCTGGCCAATTATTGTTGTCATTACTACGTAGTAACGTAATAAGTAATAACGATGTGTGTGCAGGTGTGCAAATATGTGTATTCTCATGTGCTAGTGCGTACGTTATAGTATAGTATGCATGTATGTAATGTAGTATGATATATGTATGTGAGTAATTATGTGCATCATATCATCATCCAGATATGGTGTGTTATACGTATGTATTAATTATTATGAGTTAATTGATGTGTATGTATGAGTTAAGCTAGTATTATTATTCACTCGTATTAATTATTCTATCAACTTGTTTCACTTTTATTATTTTATCAGATAATTTATATCTCATTTTATTTTAAGAGTTTTTTTAGGGTGTTACAGACCGGGTGGGGGTTTCTACCCGGTCGGGTTTCACTCCTGGGCAGTCAAATTTCTTGTTTTCTTCTCTTCAAAGTCTTCCTTTCCAACACCACAAATCCTAACTATACTTTACAACTTATAAATGAGAATTAAAATACGATTACAACTAAAATCATACAAATGTTTACAAACTAAATAAAACGGTAAACAATACACACAAATCAATCATAAAAATATACATTTATGCACTACTAATTAGTGCATATCATGTCTCTAGGAGGATATCCTTCAGCTAGTGGGAGTAATATAGGAAGCACCTCGCACCAGCAAGTGGTTCCTATTAGGCATGAAAGAAATGACATGGTTTTCATTCCTTCTACACCTACTTCTCCTTCTCTGGAAACACTTAAAAGTGTAGCACCAGAAAATTCTCCGAGCATTGGACAATCCAATGAAAGAGAACCTCTTCACAATCAGAATGAGCAGCCTGAACAATCACAAAATATTCAACTCTGTAGGTCTACTAGGATTCGTCATGAACCAACTAGGTTTGGCTTCCTCACAGAGGATCATGATGATGTTGAAATTCCTGACAAGGATGAACCTAAGACTTACACTAAAGCAATATTAGATATTGATTCAGAGAGGTGGCGAGAGACCATGAAATCTGAAATGGACTCGATGTATATCAATCTAGTATGGAACTTGGTTGACTTGCCTGTTGGGGTTAGACCCATTGGATGCAAATGGGTTTTCTAGAAGAAAATTGATGCCGAAGGCAAGGTGCAAACATACAAAGCTAGGCTAGTGGCTAAAGGTTATAGTCAAAGAGAGGGAATTGACTATAGTGACACCTATTCGCAAGTTGCAAAACTCAAGTCCATTCGAATTTTGCTTGCGATAGCAGCATACTATGATTATGAGATTTGGCAAATGGATGTCAAAACTGCTTTCCTTAATGGAAATCTCAAGGAGGAGGTGTACATGGTACAACCTGAAGGTTTTATATCCAAGTCAAATCCCAAATCAGTATGTAAATTGGAGAAATCCATATATGGGCTAAAGCAAGCCTCAAGGAGTTGGAATATCCGTTTTGATGAATCGGTCAAATCGTTTGGCTTCATCAGAAGCAATGAGGATGCATGTGTGTATACAAAACGCAGAAAGGATAGTGTGGTCTTTATGGTCATATATGTTGATGACATTCTGAACATAGGGAATGATATCCCCCTATTGAAGTCCGTGAAAGAATGGTTGTCCAATATCTTCATGATGAAAGATCTAGGTGAAGCATGTTATATCCTTGGGACTAAGATCTATAGAGACAGAGTTAACAGGATGTTGGGTCTTTCACAATCCATGTATATTGACAAAATACTACATCGATTTAAAATGGAAGAATCTAAGAAAGGATTCCTCCCTATGGGTCATGGGATATCGTTATCAAAGAAGGATAGTCCTTTAACTGATGATGAGATCAAACGCATGAGAGGGATTCCATATGCTTCTGCAATTGGTTCAATCATGTATGCTATGATCTGTACTAGGCCAGATGTGGCTTATGCGCTTAGTATTGTTGGTCGATATCAAAATAATCCAGGAGAACAGCATTGGAGTGATGTTAAGACTATTCTTAAGTATCTTAGACGAACTAAAGAATATTTCTTGGTTTATGGTGGACAAGAGGAACTGATAGCATCTGGTTACTCTGACGCTAGCTTCATGGCAGATAAGGATGACTATAAGTCACAATCAGGATATGTTTTTAATCTCAATGGAGCAGCAGTAGACTGGAAGAGTTCCAAGCAAGACACTACAACTGATTCAACAACAGAAGTCGAGTACATTGCTGCATCAGAAGCAACCAAAGTGGCCGTATGGACACGTGAATTCCTCAAAGAATTAGGGGTTGTTCCAAATGACAGTCGTCCAATAACCGTTTATTGTGACAATACTGGTGCTGTTGCACAAGCAAAGGAACCAAGATGCGACAAGAGGAATGGACATGTGCCGAGGCGCTATCATGTGATTCGAGAGCAGATAGCAAGAGGAGAGGTTGCAATAGAACGTGTTTCCACTGAGGACAATTTGGCTGATCCCTTCACTAAACCTTTGAGCTGCGAGAAACATACTAGACATTTTGAGAATCTAGGTGTTAGACGCATTGGTGATTGACACTAGGCCAAGTAGGAGATTTTTAGTATATATGTCCTAGCGACAATCATTTTTTAGAGACATATGTACTTGATCACATTTAGTTTTTATATTTGATATATACACGGTATTACACTTTATGAATGATTGTTTTCGATTTTCAATGTTTTATTCATAATTGTGTTCCCTTGGATTTATGTTGTCAATAAGTAAGTGGGAGCTTATATGATATAACATAAGGTCCTAAAATAGCCCCAATCAATGATCATCAAGAATGGGATATTGATGATATGCGATAAGATTGGTATGTGGACTGCATCATACTTTTAGAAAGTATAGTTGATCTCACAACTATGAGTTCCTGTAATTCATGATGGTCACATAGATATTTTAGAGAATATTGGCATACTCACCGAGAAACCATTTGATAAGTTATATTCATGTGTCTATGGGATTATCGGCTTATAGAGTAGTGTAATAGTCCTCTGACTTGAGGTCAATACGTACTACATGTGCGGAGTGATGTACTTTGACCATGACCAACGCTTGCACTCCAATCGGGGTAGTTCGGCATGTGTTGGGTGCATCACGAAGCACATGGAGTAGTAGTTGAGCCAAGAAAGGATTCATTCCTCATAATAGATTAAGAGAGAGCATTCTACTTCTCATATCTAGATGGATCATAAAGTCATTGGCCAATGCAAAGATCTATTCGTTTTGGATATCGAATATGATCGTTATGAATCATCTAGAAAGATTGAGAGACAGAGACTGAGTTATTGGGATAGACACAATATCATGTTCTAGACTTAGTTGAATGTTCGTTGAATGAAAGGACCGTGTCACTATGAGCTCTATATTACAGGGATTTTGAATAGTCCTCACAAACGTCCTTATTTATTAAGTTTGTCTCGTAAATCGTCTAGGGATTCTACTAAGATCTTGATTTGATTAGTGCTTAATATATAAGGCCCTATGGGTCACACAACAAGTGATTATACCTTCCGATAGAATTGTTAGAAGGAATTAAATATTAATTAGATTAAATAATATTTAATTCGTAATACTGAAAATGGATTAAATATTAGTTAGATTAACTATATTTAATTCGTGATGTTGAAGAACAGTTCTATTTGATAGATTTAATTAAGTGTGATAAATTAGATTTATTATACTTAATTAAGATGTATTCTTAATTAAATAAAGTTGGTACTTTTTCTTTATAATTTAGAATTAAAAAGAAAAGAAAACTAAAATAAATAATAATAAAGATGGAAAGTGGCATGCAGCCAACTTTCATCTTATTATTAATTTGTTTGGTTGATTTATTTAATTAATAATAATTAAATCATAAATGAGATTGGACCTAATTAGATTAGAACTCATTAATGAGAAAGACTTTCATTGTGATTGGGAAACTAGTTTAGAACTAGTATAAATACATCCCCTTCCTTCATAATTAATAGACCTGTTTTCAGAATTAGTATTACCAGTTTATTTCCCTGCGAAGAGATTTCCTAGCCTTTCTGTTAGGGAGATTTAACCGTTCTTTCGGAAAGGAGAAATCACGTGGATACCAAAGGTCAAGGATTATCACCGCTAGGCTGGAAGATCTGTAAGTTCTAACTCAGATATGTTATTATTATCATATTCGTTATTTTGTCATAATCAGGGAAGATCTGTTTGGAAAAATTTTAAACTTCCATTGCCGTACTTTCGAGGTACGTTACATCAATTTCCTAACATCCTTATGTACCATCGCCCTGTACATCCTCCCCTGCGTCAACAACCAGCCTGCCACCTTCACCTACCTCCTCCCTTGACCTCACTTCGTCCAGCCTACCGGATATACCTTTAGACACCTCCTCGACCGACTGTGTCTCACAACTGTGAGCCTGTCCTGATCCAAATTTAGGATCATGGCTCGCAAATGTCCCTTTGGTCTCTAGCTCGATGGATTTTTCATATTGTAATGTTGTGTACGAATTCAATTAGACTTGTGGGTAGAAGCTAAGTATATATGCAAATACGATAAAAGACCTAGTGAGCTAGTGATGTTTACAAACTAATATATATATCGTCAAACAGGGACGGACCCAGGAAATTTGACTAGGGGGCGAAATCGCAAAATTTTATACGGTCATACGGAGTATTACAAAATGTAGCATATATTTGCTAAAATGTTTAGATTACCAAATGCATAATATTTCACATAACTTCAACAAAAAGAACAACAAAATAGGAAATTTTATTCAACCCCTTCTATGTATGAAAGTTGGGCATTCTAAACTGAACTCTACATTTTTTTAAAAGATCAAAGTCATCAATGATAGAATCTGTTGAAAACCCCTGAGCTTTATTTTTTTTGGGAAAAGTAAAATTTTATTGATAATAGAAAAAGTACAATGCTAGAAAAGGAAAAAACAATTCAAGAAAAGTAAACACACATCAAAGATGCTACTCTAGGAAACCCAATCAAATTAGTGCAGAGCATGCGCTATCTTGGATCTGATGCGAGTGCTCCTTCTTTTTATATTAGGAGCAACTTTGGTCTCAGTGAACCGGTCCAGTGATTCTTGTTCTGATGGATATCTTGAAGATGTGTCTAATTTGTCGTTTGACATGTCTCAATCCATAGGTTGAGTGTGGACGTCCTTGGAAATTTTAGGCGAGTTGTGCGCATCTGGGAGAATTGCCTCGGGAACCTCCTCATCAAAGTCACAATTTTCCTTTTTTGCAGAGATTGACTGTGATTTGATGGCACAACTTATCAAAATATCGGATGTAAATATCTCTGTGTCTCCGGTGTTCCTGTGAAAAAACAGCATGGGGTCTTCCAATGGTAATTTTTGGAGTCCCACAAAGTTAGAGAAAATGTTCAGAAATTCAATCTGGCTTGATTTTCTCCCCCCCCCCCATAGGGATAAGGACATATGTCCCCTGTTCTTTAGCAATCCTTAAAAACTGCCTGATTTGTAAGATTCAGAGGAGACTGTGATGTTTCCAAATTTGCAATGCATTTTAAGATTAGAAAAATCCTTCGTGAGTTGTGTAATAAAATGAAGAATTTTATTAACTAAATTTAATTTGATATTAATCTTATGAAGGATTTTTTTTTGAATTTCGAAAATAATAATTTCTTTTTCTGTTTTGCAAATTTGAAATTTTTTGATTCGATCTGAATCGAATCAAAGCCATCTTCTCCAGAGAAATTAAATTTTTCGACCAAATTAGACACAGGTAAAATGCTCATTTGAGCGGATTTGAGATGTATCAAGCTTGGCAGATCCGTTGATTTATCGTCCAAGTACGTCTTCCCTGGAGAGACAGCCTGGTCACAATTTTTGTCCGGATCAGACCTCACCAGGTTTGCCCATGTGAGCTGACGGAATGGGCCAAGCGAGAGGGGCTCCTCGACAGCATGATTGAATACCGCAGGTGTGTCAACCAAAGGACCCAGTGCTGAACAAGATGGGTCCGCCGGCGCGTAGGTCTCCCTCCGGTGTGATGGACTGATGACATTTCTTCGGCCATTCAAATTCACGAAATCGTCAACATAACTAGATGAGCGGATTTTATTATTTCCGTTTGACAAGTTGGTTCAGGCGGTGTGGTTGGTAGCGTGGACCTCTGAATTTCACCATCTTCAACAGCGATTGGGTCTTCTATTGAAAGGATTTTGTTTTTGCCGTTCCTATTTTGGTAACTGTTTATCTTCTTTGTTTCCCCTTTGTTTGTGAAAAATCGTCGATTGTTATGTGTTTTATTGGGGAAACAGAGATGGTGTTGAGACGGATTAAAAGAGCAGTTGGTGTCATCTTCTGAGAGTAAATAGTTGAATCGATTATGGTTACCTGGGATGCTACTGTGTACGAGTTGACGCGATGTAGGTGAACGGCCCGCTGAACGAAGTGAGCAGGGGTTCAGTGTTTCCTGCGTCTGACCTCAAACCAAGTTTCTTCAGGTTCCTTCGAGGGTGTTGCGAAAGTGAGATTCATCTGCTTTGGAGGATGATGTTGTTGTCGTTCAAGGATATGGTGGTCGGAAAAGTAGACCTGGTTGTGACGAGGAAGATTCCGGCTTCCCATGGTCTTCAAGAGGTTTGCGGTTCTTGTGCCTTGCTGCCTGGAAGAAGATATAGTAGCGTGATGGAATGGGATGTGTAAATACTTTGTGCGAGCGTTTGTAGCCTGGTGTACATCACAGAAGCTTTCTTTCCTGGGGTTCCACCTGTGGTTGGAGCTACTTTGTGTCCAGCGTCCATATGTGTTACTGTTGAAGTAGTAAGAATCGTCCCAATAGTTTGTGTGTTGAGGATACCGGCCTGAGTGTTGCCGGAGGTGCATTTCTGGTCAAAGAAAATTTTTCCGGATTCTTAGGGAGATATGAGAGCTTATCTCTCTACATTGTTGAATTAACCCCTGAGCTATATCTCTCTCTATATATGTCATCAGGTAGTTTGAAAGAAAGTCATCCTCCATTTTATTTCGGAGGCAAGTCTTCACAATTTTCATGGTTGAAAATGCTCTTTCTGTGGTTGCCATTAAAACTAGAAGAGTTAGTAAGAGATGGATTATCCTATCAACAAGAGGATAAATTGTTGACTTCCGAGTCTTCGTCATTAATTCACACAATTCCGCTAGTGTTGATGCTTTCTTCAACTCTAGATTTTGTTGAGCATCAAATTTGAAATGCTCCATCCGAATTCTCAAGTGTTCCTTTTCCATTGTAGAGAAGTCATCAGATAAAACTTGTTCACAAGTTTGCATATATCTTCAACCTGAAAAGACTTATAATCATCTCTTGGGTCCAAAGCAGAACTCAGAACAAGTAACTCTACTACATCATCCTTGAAGCGATAATTCAGTTTCTAGCATAAGCTTATCCGCAACTAATAGAATTAAATATATCAAACTTATAGTGATGCTCCAATGTAAGACAATCTCTGTTGTTTCTTTTGTGACACCGCACCCGAACGTCTTTGAAAATTCAAATTAAAATTCAAATCTTATGTATTGAATTTCCCTATTATCGAACAATTGTAAAACGATTAAAGTTTTACGTAATGTGTGATTAATCATATTACTGTTTGGGCTCGTATAATAGTAATGGACTTCCAAATAATTAATTAGGTCATCTTATTGATATAGGGGCCCAACATTTTTAAATAAAGATATATAACCCTTCGATACAAAGTAAGAACGGTCGGGCAGCCCAAATGTTATTTTGGGCCTAACCTGCTAAAAATGGTAATTATTCAAGAATGGCATCTTAGACCCACTTGAGGGTAACCCACACGGCTAGTAGCCCAGCAATATGAATACTAATGTCATAAATAAGTGATAGAATGATTGGAGAAGAATACAAATGTCTATGGTCCCATCTTTGGCATTATTAAGCTAAATAATGGGAGTATAATTTTCTTTTATAATTATACATCATATAAATTATTGGGACCATCCTAAACGTATTAGAGATCAATAATATGATGTAGAAGGTTTACTTGATCTAAATAAATTGGGATGAGTACAAAAAGACATCTCATGACAAAGATAAAACTATAGGACCCATCTTTCCATCTTTGGAAGTATTGGTAGATCTTTTGGACTCCAAATTGATTGGGATCAATTGGGAACCATCCCACATGGATTTAGTACCTTCAAGACAAAGGAAAATGGGTAAGAAGACATACCTTGGCCGGACAGGTTGGAGAAGAGCTGCACAAGACACAATTGGCATCACATTTGGAGGTCACCTAGTCCATTTCCGCACAAAATGAGTGTGCTGGTTGTCTACCTCCATAATCGAAGTTACACTCATACAAATTAAGTGTATAACGTGTCCCTGGATAGACCTTGAAGTCTAGTTGACTTATTGGGTGGTTGTTGTGCGAGGAGGGAGATATTTGCAGATCATATTCGAGGTTGAGTGAGCTGCTGCGTTTCACTCGAGCAGTGAAAGGGTGGTGTTGTCTGGTTCGTATCTTGAGGTCCAGTCGTCCAAATAAAGTGTGTGAGATGTCTACGGAAACCTCTCAAGACTAGGAATCCGTGAAGGTCTGTTTTGAAGCAAATGGAGTTGTGGAAGGCCTCCAAATCGTCCGAAAAAAACACAACCTCCCAGAATCGGATTTTCCTTTCCAAAGTGAATTTAACCCCAAAACCTTTCTTTTCATTTTCCAAATGATATGAACGATTGGCGGAACTTTTATACACTATTTAAAGTGCATGATATGTCCTTATAAAGTTAATTTATTGATGAAAAGGTTAGATACTAACCTAGACCAAACCTTAAAAGGTTAAGAAACGAATTTGTCGGAAAACACCCATTCCAGGGGCTGTTTTTGTGTCATTGATAAAGGGTTGAGCTAGCACCTTGAGAAGGATGCTTAACACTCTTTTCTAAGCAAGGAATCAGTTATTATTCCACCTTGACCAAAGCTTTGACCATTGGATCAAGAAGGAAAGGTTTAAAGCTCAATTAAGGTGAGGATCGACATCTAGTTGCTTACAACTTGTAGGTTAAGCATGAGATTATCTAAATGCATAAATCACGTTTTTCGTGGATTATGAAGATTGATTATTGATGAAATATGGATATATTTGATAAAGAATGGAATTGGAAATAATTTGGAATCATATTGATAAAAATGGAGTTAAATGAACTATTGTGTAAAATAGGCATTTTTACTCATGTGTGAATTGTTTACATACATAAATGAATATTTATGTATTACATTGGATTCTTAAGTTGTTTTTACATATCTCTAGATATGTAAGGACTTACAAGTAGAATATTTGATTTATAAGAATAATCTTAATAGTATTGAATTACTAGTTAATGATTGTTTGTAATTGTCAAAGAATTGAATCTAAGGATTTGATTGTAAGCGATGTGCTTGAATGTGATTCAAGTGACTTAATTGATTTAGTATGAAGCTAAGATCATGTTATGGGCAATCCGTAAGGATGTCCCAAAATAGATTATTGATATCTCAATTCTAGGCATAAGTTTGCTTAGGAGTTGAGTATATGCCATGGCACGGTGATGTACTTGAGTTGGACTCTAGAAGTGCATGGGTAGACAAGGGGTTGTGATTGATGACATGCATGGTGATGTATTTGAGTTGGACTCTAGAAATGCATGAGAGATTTGATGTTGTAGCCTATGGTGTGCATGGTGATGTACTTGAGTTGGACTCTAGAAATGCACGGTGGAGCAATTAACTTGTGTCATATGATTTGCATGGTGATGTACTTGAGTTGGACTCTAGAAATGCAAACATATGTGTTAGGGTTGGACCCTATGAATTGTCGTGACTGGTAGTCACGGGGTATTGGATTGATGTTTTGTAAACAAATCTTGGGCCTACGGATCGACTACTTGACTATATATATAAAGTAAGTATATTTTTGAAAAGGGGTAACTTGGGGTTACGGCCTAGATTATATTATCACCTTATTTGAGGGTCTTGTGTTTGAAATACTTGTTGTATATCTATTAGATGCCATCTACCCCAATACTTTATAGTCGTATAGAGTACTGACCCCTTTTTGGGGGGCGTCCCACCACCATTTCAGGTTGAGTCTAGAGCTTGCTACCTGTGCTCGTTGCTCGGGTGATCATCTTGGAGAGAAGACTTGGTTCGTGCTTCCTCCATTCTGTTTTTGAACATTTATAAACATGCTCGTGGATATTTTTTCACTATAGAGCCTGTGTGCTCATGTTTGCCCTGTGTGACATTTGTTTTCAATCTTTGTTTTCCGCTGTGTATTGAATTGCTTATTATGTATGTTTATGGATGACTTGTGTGTGAATGATATTCGAGACGCCTTGTATAGTATGGGTGTGTTAGACTGCGGTTGACTATTCGTATTGTACGGTGGGTTGTTGACGTGTCCGGATAGGTCCGGGGCGTGATATCTTTGATGGCGGGGTCGACCTCGCCCAGCTTTGTATGCAGCACTGAAATTTGGAATTTCTATTCCATGTTGAGAACAGAATAACTTCACTTTCTCAAGTAAGGGATCTATCTCTCTCATTTTTTGGATAAGCTCTTTTGTTGATGACATTAAATGCATTGCATTCAGTATATCTTGAGATTTACGCTGCAAAGCTTGAGACAAATCATTTGTCACTGCAAGCACATCAATCACGAGATGTAAAATAAAGACAAACTCAAAAGATGCTATCACATCATACACTCCATCGACTTCACTCCTTTGTGTCAGGCTCTCAGATTTAATTATGTCTCACAACACATCACAAGTAGAATTAAACATCCTTACCAAACTGCGAAGTGAGGTTAAATGGGAACCCCAACGAGTATCTCTCAGATGTTGGAGAGTGCCAACTTGGTTTTTCCCCTTACCAGTTTCAATATCACCGTTGGTGATCATCTCCTCAATATGTAATGACTCAAAGTCTCTGAGTTGATCAATCCTTTTGCAAGAACAAAAGACCAAATTAATAATGGTAGACAGATATGAGAAAAACTAACTAACCGGAATCACCTCTTTGGAAGTAGCAACCAATGTTAATTGAAGCCGGTGAGCAAGACAATGAACATAATAGGCAAATGGACACTTTTGTAAAAATAAGGCCTGCAAACCATTCCTTTCACTACGCATACTGCTCGCTCCGTCGTATCCTTGTCCTCGAATATCCTTCACACTAAGACAATAACGAGATAGGACTTCTAAAATTATTTTCTCCAAAGCTAATGATGTAGTCTATTTAACATGAACTATATCAAAATATATTTCACGAATGAGGCATTTTTTATCAACGAATCTCAATACAAACGCCACTTGCTCTCTCTTGGACTCATCACGAGCTTCATCAACTGGTATGCAGAACTTTGCGTTGTAACCTGTTTCTTGCAACTTGTTGTGAAGTTTGTTTCTCAATAACCCTTTCTATATGTTGAGAGAATAAGAGTAATCGCTCAGACGGTAGACGCTCACCCGAAGAGAATAAAAAGAAATGAGTAATCTCTGGTCAGTGGCCACTGCTGGAGTGCCGGCTGCATAGCGATTTAGGGATTACTGATTAGGGCTCTCGCGGTCTCGCCTCTCGTAAGTCTCTTTCCAGACTTGAAAGCCTAATTGGCTATTCTTACGAACCAACAGTATAACGTTTTGTACTTCTAATTTGCCTAACTTTTTAATTAGACATCACTACCATTTTTTATTATCACATTAATGGGCTTATGGCTCAATATTATTATGCATTTAACATTTTAGCCATTTAATTAAAACTGCTAGTAATATACTAGTACTCTATAGAATTTAAAATTTCAAATTTGATGGGTAATCCTAATTTTTATTTTTCCTTTAAGGTAATTTAAAATTTTCTATGAGCTAAGGGGGGCGACGGCTCCCGCGCCCCCTAAATCCATCCCCATCGTCAAACATTCTAAGATATTGCATGGGGTGCAAAGCTTTTTGTCTTTTTACTCCTATTCATAGATATTGTTTCGGGCAATACAAACTTATTCACATGACTGTTATAAAGCTTTTATCTTGTTTCTTTTAGCTTGTTTAATGAGGTGATTACGTGCAACTCGGAGCAATGCCAATAGTTTAAATCTAGCTAGGCTTTGTTGGTTAAAACTTAGAAGTAACATTACATTTCTCCCTTCAAGTATTGACTACATCATTCACCACTTGATATCTAGTAAAAATCTCATATTCCTGATTACATTTTGATTGTCAAAAGTTCGTCATCATTAACCAACAAAAGTCAATATGACGAACCTTTCCGGGACAGAGGTAGTATATAGTAAAAATATCATTTCTACCAAACAAATCACGATTAAATTCTAACGAAAACATTTATGGGGCAAGTTATAAATTGTTAGAGGACCAGCCAATTGTTTAAACCTAGCCAGGCATTCTTCATTACAAATAACGGTTACATTTTCAAGTTGCATTAAATATAAGTTTTAATTATTATCACATCATTCACCAAGTAACATATAGTAAATATGTTTACGCGTACGGGTAGCTCAGTTGGTTCAGTGGTGGGAAATTTGGACCAAGTGACCAAGGTTCGAAACCCGCAGCGGTCGTGTGGAGGTCACAGAACCTGAAATAAGGCTGAACCTCTGGTGCGCACGGGAAAAAGACCTATCATCATTGAGCCGACTGAGTCACCGTGATTAATATCCTCCCAAAAATCCTATCGAATCGGGTTATGGGGGGCTTGGGGTGGGAGATTCCACCATTTTGGACCAAATGTTTTCCCGATAACTTTTTTGGCATTACCGTAGCCCACACTCAAACTTGTCCATCGTAAAGTATGTTTTGCC